ATGTTTCGCTGCTGTCTCAATTAAGTTAGACTGATGAAGCAATATTCTTCGTGGGACTTTGTAATTTAATAGGACTTTAAGAACATGCACTGGTTTATAGTTGCAATTTTGTGTTCATCAGCAAAAACGATTGCAATGAATTTGCAAACATTAATTGCCAGTCGCTCATGGCCTTTGTGCACGCATCTATAAAAATGCTTTAAGTATAAACTCGAATTATAAGAGGTCTAGCGATAATGTGCAGAAATATCATCTTGCTGGAAGTTCTGTAATATTCAAGTAAGATTGATAGACAACAGAAATAAACACAATTATTATGGAGCAAAAAACGTAGCAAAAAAAAGCGACTAAGCGTCGAACGGAGGAACAATAGATATATCCGCTGAAATGCTTGACTATCTGTTGTTTTAATGCGTCAAGCATAGCGCAATGATCTGACGCATTAGAAATGTCAAGTGCCAGGTATAAGGCTTACATTAGGTAATAATTATATTGATTAATAAATGCATAAATCGGGTTTTAATACACTGCCACGCGTTAATTTCTCTTCGTCTTTTTAAAAGTTACAAATTAGTATGAAGTTGATTATACGCCTATCAACATGCAGGCTTTTGATATTGATTTAGACAAACAATATAATGTAAAAACAACAATTAATCCATGGATGGACGATGTTTAAACATTATGTTGCTCCAAGACGAGCGAATTTTTTTCTTGGTCTCTCAGCCCTTGCGAGAAACTCATTTGAAAACACCAAGGAGAATTTCGCGCAAAAGTCTGTAATTTTGTACTCGTAAGTTCACAGCTGAATTCAGTTACAGATGACAAAAAGCGCCAACCTCTCTCGGTGTCCAAATGAGTGAAAATTTGAAAACATGTTTACTGGCTTCCAACGTAATCAACATGTTGACATCAGGTCAAGGTGCAGGTGGCATTTTTTTATTGAGTCCATCCTTGTTTTCGCGAAATACTAGGCCAATGGATTGTGAGTTTCATCTGTTTCTAGATCTCTCTTTTTTATTGGAAGGTTCCGTTGCAATCGAGGAAGACATATTAATTAGCCGTTGATATAAAATAATATATTAGCATTTCTTTCCAAGACTTTCAATGCTACATTCATTCATCCCTGTGTTGCTTCGAAAACAGGAAATTCTAAAATATCAGGATAAGATGTGGCAATTAGATATATGTAATTTAAAAAAACTAACAAAAACTATGAGTTAATACCAAAACAGCTATGCCATTTTCTTATACGGACTACAGCAATGTACTAATGATTCTTGCGTTTAAAATTTTAACTATAAACGGGTCATATCCAGCAGTATTTCCAAGAAGAATCACTGGTATAAAAAGATAACTTCAAGACATATGTCAACAAGAAAGCAGCCGACGATAATCACGCTATTTTTTAGAAAAATCCTCTGGCATTTAATCTATATAAGAAAGGGGTAACACGCATGGCATCTCCACTCGATTTACCTTTTGGTAGATGATGTGAAATAAAATCCAACAGTTGAAATGTCCAACGGATAATTAATAATCGTTGGGAAGTTTGGGTTTGACGACTGACGTGCAATCAGCTAAAACCGAGGAATGCTACATTACTTATACGAGGAAGGATAGACGGCACGCCGCTTCGCATAGATAGAGAATAATACATGGATGCGCGGAAATATGGAATTTATTTCGAGTGTTGAGAATTATATCGAACGAGTGAGCGCAGCGAAGGAGTGAGATATCTTTCTGAACACGAACATCCATGTATTATTCTTTTTAGCTATTATATAATAAAAAACTATTTTTTTGAAAAGTTTTTTTATCACCAGATTCCAGATCGGTGGATCAAACACGATAATTGCACATGTGTTATTATCATGAATAATCGCACGTGTGCATGTTATTATCGCTTTTCAAAATGGCGGATTCGTCAATAAAACCGCTGCATATTATATAATGAATATTTCCCAAGCCCCCGCGTCGCTGCGAAACACGGCGATGGCGGCTCATCGGGACACTGGATCATTAAAGAGAAATGAATAACAATAAGAAAAGATATGAAATGAACACCTACCGACCTACGGAAGTTTCAGACGTGGCCGGCTACGTTCTGTTTCTCGTTCTCAACATGCATGCGCGTACTTTATATGTTATATTTGTTATTATAAACAGCAAATAAAATAAATTTATAAAAAGACACAGGAATGCGATTCGAGTTTGTTTGAAAGTTGTGCTAGGAACAATTGGCCAGCACTGGGCTGAACATAAAGTTCTATACTGCTGCTAGCTTTACTCTCTCATATATCCCGCTTCCTATAATATAGATTATATTTATTGTTGAGGTGCATTTCCGGTTTTTAAACTTTAAATATCCACCGTACTCCGTAATATTACTAATCGCCAACTAGCTCAACACTATGGACTTAACCATGTATAATGACTTAATAATATGAGTTATTAGTTCAATAACTTCTAAATTTAGGTTTTCGCCAAACTTTACCGCAATTTATAACTGTACCGCGACTGTTAATGAACAACGATGTTTACATGAGTGGTGCTTATTATTCACATGATCAAGTTGCATTAACAATAGGTACAAAAATTAAATGCCGGATTGAAAGTATATAGAAACGCGACTGTACAGATATATGAAAATATGAAAACGCCATACAGACAGTATATTTGTCGGAGTATAGGCCTACCACTGTCAACCGATTTTTTGAAACTTCATACACACTTTTCACAACGAGTATCTTTTTGACTCAAAAGACGAACTGACAAGAACATAAATAAGCAAAGACTTATTTTGCACACGCAGTGGTCATTATGTAAATCTACTAATCATCAAAGTCGGTCTTTGGCAGCATCTTTAAACAAACTCGCATCAAATGTATTGATATAGCAACTATAAAATTGACCAAATCTAACATTTTTTTATAAAGTCCCTAAGGTCGAAACGTCGAGAAAAGTTTTTCTTGATACGAAATGAAGTGTTTTTTAAAGTGTTTTGTTGCGATATTTTTTACTTCATAATGGTCGCAAAGTTTTCGGTTCTTCATGGAGTATGTAATGTGCGCTTTTGTATTGTAAAAATTAATTCGTGTAGAATTTGTACTTAAAGTTTACGTCATGTAAAATGCAGCGTTGAAATTTCGTTAGTAGAGACATATAGACCTGGCCAACACTAGCTGCTAAAATCTGCGATTCATTGTAATATTTTCCAATGGTCAAAGCATATTGCGCATGCACAAGTGATTTCAGACAAACTTTCCACATTTCATATAGTTGCGCAGCGCTTCTGATTATCTTAATCATACGCGTCTGTTTTTTATTAGATATATCCGTTTTTTAAACGCCAACTATTTTATCACACTTTGGAATCAGTTATTTATAATTAGCTAGTTCCGGTACAAACGATATGCTCGACCTCATCAAACACGCAGAAACAGCTTAATCTGATTATCACGGCCAATAATATGAATTAATTTTCCGATGACAAGCTCTCTCGAAACAAGTATTTTTGGCCAAATATTTGCACAATTGGAAACACCGCCAGCGCATAATACTATATCACGATGAATTATCTTGATACGATATTTTTACGTATGGTTTATCTTACTGCAATCCATTTGAACTAAAATTGATAAAATTTGCAAAATGCATTTCTAATTGGAGCTAATGTTGCCTCACACAATTAAAGCTGGAGGTTTTTAGACTGCGCAATACAGTCTCTAGGTTTGCGGATATAGAAAATAATCTATTTCAGAGAGTTTGTTCTCAACAAATGTGGCAAAACATAAGCTAACAATTGCCTAAAATAACAAAAACTCTCTCGTGGTTTCACTCGAAATGATATTAACTCCGCCATAAATACTTGCCGGTCTCGAAAATTCCCGACGATTTTTGTCTATTTTAGGCCGTTGTTGACCCAAATTTGATGGAAGTTACTAGAAGACGCCGCATACCTGGCCCGTGGATTGCTTTTTGCGCCTATCTGTTCGAAAGTCATTAATTGGTGCACAGAAAGCAATGATTGTGCGCGCGCTGTTTTGATAAGTGAGAAACTGTCCTATTACAGAGTATACCAAAAAGCAAAAGGGGATCCCTTTGAATTAAAACGACCTACTTATTTAAAAAATACGATACGATAGATCTATCCATTCATTCTGTCGTGTATGATGTGCTACTGACAGGATCTGATGCCCACTCACATGCAAATTTGCCCACGAACTTATAACTGACCTAATTAGGTCATTCTCTTGTGTCCAAAAAGACACAGTTGACTTCGGAGAGTTATCTCATGCACGATTAGAATGAAGTTTAACTTCGAAATGAACGCGATTAGCCTTAGCAGCAGCTATGTGGCAAGTTGCAGGTTTTTTACTCATCCTGTATTATCAACCAGATTGATCGGTTGGGTAATGTTCTATCGATTTATTTCCTGCTATGAAAAAAAATCTTTCGAAATCTGTTTATATTCGGTGGCGTGAAAGAAATGCTGTTGATTGAATTCGAAAATACTGCAATTCTGCACTCGAATTATTCTATGAAAGAAATTCTATTCGTCAGACTAATCCATAGTCTGCCATGTTTGATGAACCGAAAGCCAGTGCAATCCTTTACTTAGTTTTTCTTTGTTTCTTTGAGAGGCCCAGCTAGGCTTGAAAATTTTACAAACATGGGACAAACAGGAAAAATTTTCGTCTTTTAAATCAATGCCATCACGCAATGACGTCATTGAGCAATGTTGGTGGGTTTCGTTGTTTTTTTTCTGCAGGTTTTTAAAAACAATTTTTATTTTTTTAATGGGACAATTGCCAAGTCATCCCACATCACGCGTGATATTGCCAATAAAACATTACTATATGTATGAATTATTAAGTAATCATATGTATATATTTAGCCACGTACAAATTCACGTTCCATGCACGACGGGCTTGCTGGCAAATTTTCAGACTGAAAAACCCAATATATTGAAAAGATAATCATATAGACATACAGACGGAACAAGAAATCTTATACCATTTTAATTAAAATGTGGGTTTGTGGGCATTGCTCTGATTGTTTACCACATTTTAGTTTGGAATGCCAGTAAGGCAGCAGTATAGTATTTTAGACGTATTTACAGAATCATTCGCAGAGACAGGCAAATGTGAGCTTGAAGGCGATTCATTCCGACTTGTTCTCCGTACCTTGTAAATAACAAAGAAAGGGGTGAAAACAACAGCCGTGAAGAACGTACAATAAGAAGAATCACCCTAAAGGTAAGTAAACCTTTCCTCCAAACTATGTGGGACTCGATAAAACCCCCAATATAGCAGCGTTATAATTGCTGTTGGCTCGTTTCCTGTTCTTCCTTCCCATTTATAGAGTGTCCATTCTATTCTTGGTTATTAATGTTTCGCTCACCTTATGGCTATCTATATAATCATTTTTTATTACTAGTCATACCACAGGCAACCTGCACGTCGCGACTTTTTAAGCAAACCAGACACGTCGGTATTTTCATCGCAGTCAATATATATAACGACCTTCACGCAGACAGTCGCATTTTGAGCAAAGTTTGTTAGGAATTGACATCATAATTATTGAGTTCAATGCGTCCATGTTTTCCACTACGAAAGTCATAACTTACGGCCTTTTGCTCGTCGTCTTGGCAATGCTGTCAATGAGCTATGCAGGTGCTCGCTGTGGCGGAGCCGTGTGGATGGGTTGTAGCAGAACAACAAAAAAGGTAACTGAGAATGACACTCGGAAAAGCAGGATTTTGTTATGAATAATTTTCCCCTATACTACAATGGTCACTGCAGCAATATTAAGCTAGAATATATAACGACAGTGTTATATGACATAAAAAAAGTCAGTGTTATATAATATAGGATTATGAAACTTACATATTATTTTTGCAGTTTTGACTCGCAATACGAACGGCTGATTAAATGGTATAAATTTGTGAATCACGATTTATTTTTGACACGGCATGCAAATATCCCTGCCTAACTGTTCACAATGTCCGACAAAAAAAAGGAATGTTACCTAATATTTGCATGTTAACAAATTTATTTTGCCCTAATGATGTTGAATAACTATTATCTCAATGTTATGCATGAAAACCCTGAGGCGACAATATGAAGACTGTTTTCTAGTCGATCCACGTTTGTTTCATGTAGTCGATATAGTTTGATATATCTTCATTTGTGCATTACGTCAGTATAACTTAATATCATAAGGTAAAGAATTCTGTGCATTGTAGCTATATGTGCGAAAGCAGATAACTTTACGCTGAAAAGGAGCGTTTTATAATTAAATTGCGAAGCTGAAAATGATTGCAAGTCGAAAAATGCCTTTAAAAATCTATCTATAAATCTATCTATTAATTGGGTGTTATTATAATACAACCACTCACAAGGCTGCATGTCGGACACTTATATACGCGTTTTTCTTAAACCAGAGTAAAATGTATAATTTATATACGTCAAGGTCGGTATCATAGTATGTTATGAAAGAAATACTTATCAAAGAGACTGCACAAGATTTAACTTACTTCTGTTATCATGCAGTCTCTATTAGTATCTTCAATGTGAAAAGTATATCGTGACTTCTACCTTATTGTGCGCCATGCACCAGTGACCAGTTCTACTAATCTGTGCGCCATGCACCATAAGACTGTACTGCATGTGGAAAGCGGTAGCGTAGGCATTTTGCTGTTCATTGAGCGGAAAACAATCATTTCAAGAAAAAAGCGACTGAATTTGCTTACATTATCAGGCTGACTCCGCCACCGGTGTAGAAACCAGCGTTGAGGCATGTTTTTTCTGTCCGAAATAAGCAAATTTTTTAATGGAAAATCATAATTTTGTAATGAGCAAGTTCAGAGATTGTTGGATATAAAGATTATATAGGCTCGCCCTGTTTTTTAAACCAATGACAAACCTGAGTTTTCCTGATACTGCATGCAGGTAGATGCCAACTATAACATACACTCAGTGAGAGTATAAAACAACGCGTAAAGTTCAAATACAGGAGCAAACTGCAAAAATATTAAGTCTATATAGAGTGCTCAGTGAGCGATCTAGACGATCGATATGTACTGCTTGCATGCATGTCTAGCTATTGATCCAAATAATAGATTGTAGACCATGTTTAGTTACCCATTCTAACAGCTTCCTTCTTTATATCGAAACCTAGTGATATATGCCCTTTCTTTTCATTTTTTATGCTTATTATGCGACTGACATATTTTCCAGCCAGTAACAATCACGGTGAAAGCACACAGACACAGGCGAGTAACAAGACGCAAAAATAGTAAAAGCAGGTGGAGAATGGCAAGGAAACGAAAGCCAAAGTATCAATCAGCCACAGATTAAAACAATGGACACGCGTCTAAATTATTTTTTGAAAGCGTTTTAATTCTGTATATTGGCATGGGACCAATTGGAGAGAATTTTTTGTAAATTGTTGTAATTTGGGAATGTTGGGACAAAATGATGATGTAATTTTGAACATAGCGTATTTGAAAGACTGAGTATAGAACATATTGAGGCCCAGCTACATGCATTGTAAACAAATGCCCAGATGTATAGCATGTTGTTAGAATAGGGCATGAAAATGAGGCATTAATATTGGTATTACCGGCAACATTTAGCTTTCCATTAGAAAAATAGATCCGCTTTGCGTACATATGGCAAGCAAGGTGAAATAAAAAAGCCAAGTTGGAAGAAAAATTTATAAAATAAAAATAAAAATGAAAAAGCGCATTCTCAACAATAGCGAGTTTAAGAAAAGGGAGAGAAATTACTCCTTTTGATAAACTCCTTTTGATGAACAAAGTCAGAACCGTATGTAAAACAAATCATTACTGGTTTCTTAACACTATAATATCAGTTTTTATGTCACGTCCGCGTCGTAGATTTTGTGGATCTTATAAACTCGCTAATATCAGGATTGATCTGTGATATAACGTACTTCGGCTGGTCGAAAGTATTTGAAAGCCTGTTTTAGCTCACCTATAGTGGTCACGTTTTACTTTGAAATTCGAAAAAAAATTGTATGAAAATCTAACATATTACTTCGTGAGAAATTAAGCACTTTTCTTTTAATTGATTTTCTATAACGGAAGGAAACATTGGCATGCATACATACATGCATACATCGCCTTTATTTAAAACACGGTAAACCATTCAGTAAAATACATGTAAAGATGATAAATTACTCTAAACTATAATATATAAATTATGTGACCGATATATAAAAACCACTGTTCTACCAGGTTGCCGTGTGGGGGTCGGATTAAGCTAAATAGAATTACAATTAATTCTTAGAGATCTTTTAAATGAAGAAAGAGATTCAGAGAGACGCAAGGGCTCAGGCAAGCTATTCCATATTGAAGCTCCACTAAAACTGAAGGAGCGTTTAAGATAGTCAGTTTTAGGTTTAGGAACGAATAGTTTGCCATTAGTATATTTCTGAGACTATAGTGATTAACTCTAGTGACAAACAAATCTTGTAAATACATAGGTGTTAAATTGTTCCTGAATTTATACACGAGAATCGCTTTTTGCATTTTACGGTTGACATGCAAGTTATTCCAACCAAGTTTTTCAAGAACAGAGCTAGAGGAGGCATCATAGGGAGAGCAAGTTATAACACGTGCAGCTCTATTTTGGAGTTTTTGAAGTTTGTCGTTCAATTTACTACCAATGCCGTCCCAAACAGGAGCACAATATGAAAAATATGGCTCGATTAACCCCTGATACACTCTAGCTGCTGTATCGTGGTTGACAAAACTTCTTATTCGTTTTAAAGCACTTATTCCTGATGATACTTTTTTAGAAATATCGTCAAATGAATATGTTTTTTCCAGGTCAAGTTTTCGTCAATAGAAAGTCCTAGTGATTTAGTACTCTCTACCTTTTCGATTTGTTTCTTATCGACAATAACATTAATATCATGGTCATCGAAAGTTGATAGTCTTTGACGAGAACCGATAACCATGAATTCGGTTTTGGCAATGTTCAAACTTAATTTATTAACATTAAGCCACTCTTTAAGTCTTTCAAGTTCAGTATTCATAACTCTTTCGAGGTCGTCAAAGTTATTACTTCGAAAACTTATATTCGTATCATCGGCAAACATTCTTGGTAACCCCTCAAGTAAAGACTGCGAAGTATTAGTCACTCGTGTTGGTTCCTCAATAAGTTGAGTAAGATTGTATATGTCGAATATATCCGAAAGCTCGAGGGTATTAGCATTAGGAGTTTGAGTTAATAAATCACAATTTAGGTCACCTAGTAAATACATTTCGGCGTTTTCGGAATCAATTTTATCAATTATCTGCTGGAAGAGAGAGAATAGATGCTGTGCAGAGTTAGGAGGTCTATACCAAGTCCCTACCAGGAAAGGCTTAGAACGAGGGTTAGAAATCTGGACAAATAGTAGCTCAAGTTCAGAGTTTACTAAATCACTACGGACTTTAAAGTTTAAATTACTTCTAACATACAAACACACCCCACCACCATTACGACCATGGTGTTGTCTATCACTTCTAACAACGTCGTAACCAGGGATTTAAATTTGATTATTTGTAATCGAGGAATCTAGTTTAGTTTCATTAATTGCTAGTACATCAATGTTAGACCTTATACTTTGCATATAAATACGTAACTGATCATAACTTTGATCATACGTAACTGATCATAACTTTGGCTATTCTAAATAACTATTTTTTTTTAATTTTATTGGATTGGTAAATATGATTATGGCTTAAGTTCGAGACCTTTGTTTTTAAATAATCTATATTGAAATTGGCCAGCATTAATACTAGCTTTTTCTATGATACGGATTTAAAAAAAAAAATAGTGCAAATCTGTAAAATAGTTTGCATTTCCAGTGCAAATCCAACCTACTAACTGGCGAGACCAGCGCTGAAGCGTGATTGTCCGGTTTTGAAATGAGCAGAATATGTAACAGCAAATCATTTGTAATGTGCAAGGTCAGAGGTAGGGGGTGGTTGTCAGTCTCGCACCCCCACAACCCCCACAGCTTTATGTGCAACTATATTTACAAGTGACTACTTCTGGAGATACTGCAGTTTATTGCTCATCTTATCATACTTGTTTCCTGAGATAATTACAGGTACTACCATAAGTACTACCATACTACATGTGCGACACCACTTTGATTAACTTAAATACTTCTGTGCTAACTTTAAACCTTTTAGAAATCTATGTGCAACTATATTTACAAGTGATTACTGCTGGAGATACTGCAGTTTATTGCTCATCTAATCATACTCGTTTTCTTAAATAAGTACAGGTACTACCATAAGTACTACCATACTACATGTGCGACACTGACTTTGATTAAATATTTCTGTGCTAGCTTTAGCGAGCGAATTACGGAGAGTGAAAAATGTTCCCTTTGAGCAAAAAATATTGCCCGTTCAGGCCAGTGGTAACGTGAGAAGCATGCTCAGATATCTGTTCCCAGGAGGTTCCTCTCGGTGTTGTCACACTGATACCAACACGTCGGTAAACGACTCCATTCATATTGATGCCAAAGACATCGCCGGTCAAACCAGCCTAGAAAATATGATTCTTTGAATTAATAATGGCATAGTATGTTATTCAAACGTGAAAAATCGTTCCAGCAGAATTTTAATAATGGATAGCTGCTGTAATGATGCAGTACGTGTCATTGCCAGTTGGAAGTAACTGGTGATGCATGCCACAGGTCTGAGTGGACCCTACCGTTGACAGGAAACTCCACTTTCACTCTCTAATAACTAGTATTATTATTCATTAAATAAAGTAATCGTCTACTGATTGGCTGAAAATGTACGGATAATTTCAGCTATCTCTGGGTGCTCGCGCAATTTTTTAGCGGACATAGTGTTATCTGGCGTTGCCTGCCGTATTTTTCAGCGGTTAGGTTGTTATCTGTAGAGGTTATTGGTCCGCGCCCGCCGTTTTACAGCGGTATGGTGCACAAGCGCGGGAAATTCGCGAGCTTGTCCTCTTTATTTTGAGTATTTACTATTTGTTCATGCTCATGTGCTTGTTTTTCAAAACCCAATGAATATTTAATCAGTCAATGTTTGTATATCCTGCTCAGCCTCATCCAATAATAATTGTTTATTATTTGTACTTATCATAATTTAAGCATGACTAAAAAATCCAGATTACCGATATACAAGGCATGCACTATACATTAAGTACATGCACTATTTACTTTTAACTAACCTCAATTTGTGTTAAATAAACTCCTGGTATTGAATGCCATGCTAAACCGTTACAGTTCGTTTCAGTAACTCCAGAGCGGTAATAAACATTGTGATGTCTGTTCACACCCCAGCAACCGAGCGCACCACAGCTCATGTATATTAACCTACCAAGAACTTCGTGCCAAATCGTTCCTTCCGGCTTATCGTCAGTAATACCACCACGACAAAATATAATACCATTTTCATTCACTCCAAACACTATATGACGAGGCCCTGAATCAATTTGTTTTAACATCGAATGAGGTAATTTCTTCCATCCAGTTCCAGATGAATCTGTCGCAGATACTCCTTCTCTAATAAACACCTCACCAACACCATTAACCCCCCAAATACCAGCTTCGCCTAAAACGTTGAAAAATTTGGTGAAAACAACAATTTATGTGGGAAATTTCAAAAATAGGTTTAAATTCGTCATCACTAAGCTATGGGTACTAAAAGATCTAATGTGCAATGACGTCACTTAGTAGTCACGCAAGAAAAACGTCAAGAGAATGGATCATATTGTTGATAGTTTTAATTGTAGAAAAAGACTAAGCTGTAAAATAAATATTGAAGTTATTTGCTGGATGTGTCATATTAGGCCTAAGGTTCTTATCCACTAGTCGGAAAGACTAGCTCGCAAGCTCGCTGCGAATAATTTTGTCCAATCACAATGCTTGACAATTTACTTTAATTAGATGCAAACACTAGCAGCGAGCTTGCGAGTTGATTTTGCGATGAGTGGAAAACAGCCTTCAAACAGTAGCCATTTTTGAAGACTTTCATTCGCGGCGACAAGTGACGTCATTATGTATAAGGGCAACGTCTCGATATTTATAGCTGGACAAAATGGGGTCATAAGCCTTTCTTTACACTATCAATATTTTACTGCATAGTGGCATTTTGAGATCTGAATAGAAGTCAATTCTGTCCTTAGCTACAGTTAAATGTTAACTGGTCTTTCATACAACTGCCCCCGCCAACCTCAAAGGCCGGGCTCTTCCAGCTACGCTCCACGGCCCA